AAAATAGCATTTCCTATTTTTAGGAAGCTGCATCATCCAGTTATCTGCTAAAACTACATTCAATTAACATCAACCAGACTGGGACAGCAAGCAGATTTATTGTGCTGTCTTGTCTGCTTGTTTTATTTCTTAAAACGTAGTATGAAAGCTGTAAATTGACTCGTCTGCTTATATTAGGTGTTACATTTCAGTACATCAGGACCATTTAGACTGCATTTCAAAATAAGAACTTAATCCATCTTTCTGCAAGGAAGGACCTTTCTTTAGATTATTGTTGTCTGTGGTGAAGGAAAGACCCTTTCCTAATGCTGGAGGCAGTGCTGACAGAGATGTCAGCAGTCACTGTTTTGAAACGAACAGGTGAGAGGCCAGGATTAACAGTCTGGTCAGTCATGAGCATCAGAGAGCCTGGCCAAAAATACAGCCAGAGAATAATGGTCCAAAGGCTTTGGCTTAGGTGAGCCTGCATCTTACAGAATACGGGAGAATCTCACCAAAAGCAGAACGCTGCTTTTGTGCAGCCTATGCCAACATTCAAGGGAACAGAATCATCTTTCCCCTCTACCAAGTTTTCATACAAGCAAAGGAAAAGCACAGGCTCACTGTGACACTACAGTTTTTCAGTCTGTTCATGCTAATGGCTCAACCAGGGATCTCCCATTTTTGCATCATCACTGCCAGCAGCCAGCTAATGGAGCATCTCAGAGACAGACCACAGAGCTGCAGTTCAGCCACACGGGGCACTTCCCTCTTTTTATTACACTCTATAAAAGATAAGTCACACACGCTTTCTCTTAGCAGTCTTCATGAATCAGCAAAGAGCTGCCGAAGAGTGACCATTAGGGCCCTCGGGAAAGACATGGGTATCAGCTGTCAAAGTACTACTTGGTGATTTACATTTTTTTTATATGTCTCCGTATCCACTAGGCCAGTGAGGAGCACTTATGCATTTGCATTTTCAGGACAGGCTGCAAAAAGCAGACGTGTTCACGCAGCACCAGGAGGGAGGATTTCTTTCCTTTTAGCTCATGCAAAAAGATCCCTCCTGGTTCCTGTGTCTCCTCCCAAGATCTGCATTAGCAAGTCCAATTAGCATACATATAGCCTGCCATGGATGGCAGAACATCAGGACACGCGAGACTGCAATGCCAAAGTGCACATGCAGCCATAGCAGTCATAGAATCATAGAATCATAGAATCACCAAAGTTGGAAAAGACCTAAAAGATCATCCAGTCCAACCGTTCACCTATTCCCAGTAGCTCCCACTAAACCATGTCCCTCAACACAACATCCAGCCTTTCCTTGAACACCCCCAGGCTCGGTGATTCCACCACCTCCCTGGGCAGTCCATTTCAGTGCTTGACCACCCTTTCTGAAAAGTAATACTTCCTAATGTTCAGCCTGAATCTCCCCTGCTGTAGCTTGAAGCCATTCCCTCTGGTCCTATCACTAATGACACGAGAGAAGAGGCCGACCCCCAGCTCACTACAACCTCCCTTCAGGAAGTTATAGAGAGCAATAAGGTCTCCCCTGAGCCTCCTCTTCTCCAGGCTGAACATTCCCAGCTCCTTCAGCCTCTCCTCATATGGCCTGTGTTCCAGACCCCTCACCAGCTTTGTTGCCCTCCTTTGAACACGTTCCAGGGCCTCAATATCTTTCTTGCAATGAGGGGCCCAAAACTGGACACAGTCCTTCACCGCTACCTCTTCTCACCCTCACCCTTCTGTTCAGTGAACACTGGGGGCTCACAGACACAAGAGGAAGAATTTCAACAAGGCTGATTGTGGCGGTCGCCTGTCTCAGGAGGTAAGGAATCAGCCATCTTGAATTCTAGCAATGAAATCTGTGAGTGCAGATGAAAACACACGTGGCCATCCCTTGGCCATGGTTCATTTATTAAATACAAACTATTATTTGCACCAAGACCAACTTACAACTTTCCACGGTGTTTCTGTAACACCCTTTTCAGTATAAGCAAATCCTGTCCCTGTGCTGTACACATCAGCAAAGAGATCAGTACTTCTGGGTAATCTTCCTTCTGCAACAGGATCCAGCCTGGAATTAGGGAGACCTTCGACTATGCTCTCCTGTTAACTGCAAATGGACAAAAACCACCAACCAGTTCTGAGGTTCCCTCACCAATCAGCAATGGGAGATTAACTTTGTCATTAACCTTGTCTGCCCTCACCAATTTAATTGGTGCTGGCCCAGGTCCCAGGCCTAAGGCCAAGAAATAGCATGCAGAACACAGCTGGGTGATAAGATGAGAATTGCTGCTTTCCCCAGCCACCTTGGGCTGGCCTCTTGGCATTCTGATCCCTTGGCACAAGCAGAATGTTTCAACATGTCATCACCAAGACTTTCTACAGGTACAAATGAACATAATGTGGGGAACTTCAGTGAAAAAGGGTTTGTATCCCTTGCAAACCTAGCCAAAGTCTCCTTGGAAATTCTTTCTTTTAGCTCCTTCTCAAAAACAAAGACGACTTTTGTTACCCATCTCCTCACTGTGGGTAACCTTGTTCCAGCTGGAACCTGTATCACACATCACACATCACTCTGCTGCAAAAATCATTCCCCAGTCATAGCACTAAATCCACTGCGCACACTCCTAAAATACCTCCTCTGGTTCCTCAAGCCTAACAGAACAGCACAAAATCCCAATTCTCTCCATACCTCCTGCAGCCATCCCAGCTGCTCTGCAACCTTTCCTTTCCCAGAGGCCCTCCTCGCTCATCTGAAATCACCCATCAGGAACCCCTCTTCCAGCACTTCTCAGCTTTTTCTTGCACAGGAGCCCTTTGGGAAGGGAGGAGGAAGGGGTTATTAGTGCTAAGTCACAGGGAGCAGCCCAGCATCATCGGTCTCTTTGCACAGGTCTTGAAAGAGGCGTTCCGCTCTCAATAGCAGACCTAAACCCTGTGCAAATGCTGTCTCTATGAGTCATGCCTTTCTCCATCTCCCTTTTACACTGTCCCCAAAAGTGGCTGCCCTGAGGCATTCACTTTGAAAGGACATAATCACATTGCCCTCCCCCTCCTTATCCCACTCCCCAGTACCTGCACCTCATTGGATGGTCCTCTCTTCCCATTCTTCTCTCCTTAATTTAGTTTGGGAACTCTCCAGAGCAATGAGACATCATTATCTATTTTGTAAAGCGCCATTCAAAGCTGTAGTAAAGTGGCACACAGATGTGATGATGGAAATCCTGCCCTCCTGCTCCCTGCAGAAGACAGGCACAGCTGAGGGGTGCTCAGCAGAGACAGGGCTGCTCCCTACAGCCCAGGCAGGTCTGCAGACCCCCACCTCAGCATGCTGAGGGCTGTGCTGGGTGCCAGCTCCTCACATTGACTTTACTGAGGTTGCTGTGGAGGAATGGCTGCCTGCTAAAATAATTAATAGTCCCCTTCATTTTGAGTAATGATAAAAGTCAATTAATGGAGACCAAAAGCAATATGACACTGCCAGTAGCAATGACAAGTGCTCTTTGTGAGCTGCCAATGACAAGGAGCACAAGGCATGACACCCACTGGGTTGGAAGATGGTGAACTGGGAGAACCAGGGGACATCGGTGGGCATAGCCCAGCTCCACCCAGTCAGATGATCCCCTCACTGGCCGTATCGGAAGCTACGAAACACTGGGTTAGCCTTCAAGCACAACCTTGTTGTGAGGGAAGAAGTGGGTACGATGGCAAGGTGGCTGTCTGTGTGACAATACGATCTCGGGTCAGACACTGTAGAGATGCACAGGGAGGGACGATGTCAGTCAGCCCAGCAGTAACCGCACCAGGGAGCCGCTGCTGCTCACACAGCGTAACAGGTGTAACACCCTCAGATTGAAACTTCCCCTTCGCCCTCCAGCAGGCAGCACGCAGGGCAGCAGCTGGGACCTCACACCAGCACCGCCGAGCTGACAGCTAAAAGCCGGGGGCAGCTGACGAGCGCCAGGAACCCCAACAACCTCATACCCCTTATCAGAAACACACGTTTTCGTCCGCTCTGGTCGCTAAGCTCAACATGTGGTTTATAGGAAGATCGCGCCCCGTGCCAGGAGACACAGCCGGCGCCCGGAGCTGCCCGGGGGCTACTCGGGGGTCCGGGGTACAGTGGCCCGGGCAAGCACGGCCCCGCCGCAGGCTCCCGGCCTCCCTAATGGGCATGTGCGGAAGGCGCCGCACATGCCCACTCTGCCGCCTAAGGCCGGGGGCTGCCAGGCAGCGGGGCGCGCCGTCGGGCACCCCAAGGCGGCCGAGGGCGCCCCGTCCGCTCCCGGCGGCGGCTCCGTGGGCGGAGGGCTCCCGCAAAGCGCTCTCGGCTCCCTCGCGGGGAGCGGCCGCCCTCCGCCGCCCGTCGGGACCGCCCGGGTTCGCCGAGGCGGACGGGGATGTGGCGGCGCGGCGGGCGGGGCCGGGCGGCAGCCGG